AATTTATATTTATATTTGGAGGTTCCCTAATGACTCTTTTTCTTCACAGTCATTAGCACATATAATAGTTCTGCTTTAAACCCCTGGAACCATAATAGCTTATGAAAAATAGAGATGAGGAATAAATTGGGGTGTATTCTAATGTCAGATACAAGAATGGCTTTGCTGTAGCTTGCTGTCTAGAATGTCTGTCCCTCTGCCATGAGCTCTGTAATGCTAGGACTTGAGGCCTTGGTAGTTTGAAAAGAGAAATTACCTTAAAATAAGGGGAGAGAGAGAAGAAGGGTTGCAGGAAATTTGAGTGTACTCACCTGTCCTGTATACCACGTGTATACAGTATGTACCTGGTCTAACAGGAGCATGATGAGAAGAACAATTGGAGCAGATATTCAGCTGAATATCTGAACTATAACTGTGCTAAAAAAAACATTGTTTTTCGCTTTCCTTTAAATAACAGAAAACAATAATAAAATAATAATACTAAAATGATAATTATCTAGCAGTAGTATGCTTTAACTTGCTTCGAAAGCCAATTGAGGAATCTGAATCTATATGAGCTATCACAATTGGGAAAAATCTTGAAGCCATAAATACAAACCTCATATACTGTAAACAAATAAACAGGCTGTCTGCGGGTTCTTAAAACGTCTTAAAATGTCTTAAATCTCAAAAGCTTAATTTTAGGCCTTAAAAAGTCTTAAATCCTTAAAATATCATATCTTTTTAACATATCTTAATTGTCCTCTGTTCATGTATAGATACTTAGTCTGGTCATTAACACCCATACAATCCCAATCGCAATAAAACTTTCTGTTTAAACATACCATTTTCAACTCTATTTATAATATCCATAATGTTTTACAGAGCCCCTATTATGCATTAAAAGGTCATATTTTGGTTTTGGGGGTCTCCAACAACAGGCTGATATGCATACAAGGTCAAAAAACACTTTCATTGTTTTATATTATGCATTTATTTTTACCTAATTATCCTAACAACTTCCGTATGATTTGTTCACTTGTGTAAGAACAGCTGATGGTGGCCATAGTATCGACAAACGGCAGAGAGCCGCGAGCTCACAAGCGCAATTAAATCCATAAAGAAAGCATCACATGTTACCAGGGCCGGAGCAAGCTGAACTGCCGCTCTAGGCAGAGGACGGTCATGCCCCCCTCAACCCCAATATGTGAAAACGAAAGTGACCGGTTAAGAAAATGAAGTGAGGTGTCACGGACCTCTATTCTGCCGGTGCGGACTCGCGGGTGCTGAGGGAGGGAGGGAGATGTCGCCGACGCTGCTCTCTCTATTCTGCCGCCCTATGTGCGGAAATAACTGAGGATGCGCGGGTGTCGCAGACCTCTATTCTGTCGACCTATGCGCGGATATAACTGAGGACACGCAGGTGCTGATGGAGGTGTCGCTGACGCTGCCCTGTCTATTCTGTCGCCTATGCGTGAATATATCTGAGAACGCGGATGGTGAGGGAGGTGTCGCGGACATAACTGAGGACGCGGGTGGTAAGGGGGGTGTTGCGGACGCCGCCCTCTCTATACTGCCGCCCTAGGCGGCCGCCTAGGTCGTCTCTATGGACGCGCCGGCCCTGCACGTTACATTTTCAGCATGGCTTGATATGTGAATACAAAGAGTTAACCAGATACAGTACAAGCCACTTGGAGCAGTTACAAGTAACAACACACAATTAAATACACATATTGCACGACAGAGAAGGAGGTAGCCATTTTAAACGCACTAACTGGAAGAAACTGGTTCATCAACTGTATACTGATAAAGTTCCTGTCAAGATCTGACAAAGTCCCATACATCAATAATTTTTTCTGATCTTTCCTTCAACAAATGGCCGATGTATTCCCCATTGTAAACGTGTAGGTTGCTGTAGCACTCGTCAGATTATTGACGTAAACACAGCACAATGCTGGGGCTATAATGCTGAGATATTTTTGCAGAAATTAACTTTTTAACCACTGACTCTTCATAGCCTCTTTGGGCAGGAAAAATAACACTAACTTTCCCTCACAGTTCAGAGCACAGCGTCTTTGTGACATGATTCAACAGGGATCTGCTTTGAGTCAACTCTTTGATGAATCAATAGTTTTAAACATGGTGCACTTTCAGATTTAAGCTGGGTATTTCACTTCACTTTAAGCTGTGTTACACACTGCATGAAAGGCCATTTTCAAAAACCCATAATAGGGGCTCTTTAATTACTTTCCTTACAGTAATATTTGTTTAAAAGTTCTTTATTTATTTACTGATGAGGATTATGACCTAACCTATATTTGTATTATTCAATTTTTATTATTGTAGTATTAAATGTGTTAAATTATAATCTTTTTTTTTTGATAGGACAAGTGAAAATCATTTCCAACTGGGATATTAAAAAAAAAGTCTTTGGCATTTAACCTGTACAAGTCTAAAATTTCATTCATAATAGTCTTAAAAAGGTCTTAAATTTAACTTGGTGAATACAGGTCCTGAATAAAGTAATAAATAAATAAAAAAATACCCTGAATAAAGGTCATGTTTAGAACAAAAGAGCAAAAATAGAACAAAACTAATGTCAAACAGCCATCTAAATATGCAAATGTGCTACAAAGGAAAATGAGCTGAACCTCTGAGCACAGTTAAGGCTGAGTTACAGTAAAATACATGCAAAACACCATGGACAAGAATACAAAAAAAGAAAAAATATATGATTCTAGTACAAAAGACAGACACCTGAAAGTGGTGCTTACAGTATGAAGCAGCAGAGATCATTTGAAAAAAAGCAGCCCGGATCTTATAAACACTGCTTTTTATGGGATTATACGAAGAGACAGAAACATTTATAAACATTTCCTTAGTAAATTTCCTTCAGATATGCATACAGTACAACATCCAACCACCACCATAAATTTATCCGTTCTGCAGTCTCATGGAAACTCCTGTTATAGTATTTTACAGTCTTTTATATGAACTCAAATGTATATATTTTTTACTTGTTCAAACTACTTAATTAAAATGAGCTGAAACAACACAATTCTTGAGATTTCATTGGGACAACCTAATATTGTTTGTTCAATCTACATAAATTTGTTAAAAGTGTTAAATTTACTTAATCAATTTGTGTTGGAACCCTGCATTTTTACAGTGTACATTTTGTCTACAGTTTATGGATTATGATTATTAGCTGGCATTTTGGTGCAGTGCCAATTTTTAACTGAGGCAGATAGTGAATCAGAGAGGTTTTTAGCTTTTCGCATAAAAGGTAAATCTGGAGAAGAAACAATTTGAGTGTGTGAATAGCAGAAACAACTTGAAACACTGCTAGTTAGGTATACAGTGCTGAGAAGTGTTCTGGAATAGTTGACCAAAAACCGAAAATGTTTCCTCATTTGCTCACTCTTCACTAGTTTCAAAACTGTTTGAGATTTTCTTTTGTTAAACAAAAGAAAAAATAATACTAAAGGAAACAGGACACCTATAACCATTGACTTCCATAGTATTTGTTTTTCCTTTTATGGAAGTCCACGGTTACAGTTTTCAGCTTTCTTCAAAATATCAGCTTTTGTCTTCAGCAGAATAAAAAACTTTGGAACAGCTTAAGGGTGAGTAAATAGCGATTGTGTGTTTATTTTTAGGTGAATTACCCCTTTAGGGTACATGTAGACTTAAAGGATTTAACATAAATAGACCATTTTGAATAAGCCATTGGGGAGACCTAACTTTTGCCCACTCTCTTATTTTACAAGATCTTACATTCTGGTCTACGATTTATTCTGGCCAAGAATTTCCCACTTATACAGGAAGAGGCTAATTAATTAGCATTTAAACCAACCAATTAATTTTTTTCTTCTGAGATTATTCAAAGTAATGAAACTGGAAAGGAATAAATCAATTGAAGAGTTCAGATGCAAAAAAACTCAAAAAAAAAAAAGTGCCGTCTGAAATTTCCATCGAAATGGAAATTTTTCTCAGCCTCCTATGTTTATGTGGATTTATTTCACTTTAAAACCATAATAAAGGACTTATTCTTTGCCATAAAAGTGATATTACTGAACTTACACACAGGCGCCTGATAAATGTGCTAGTTTTAAAAGAAAATTTCAGACAGCATTTAAAGGTTTTTGCTCTTCAATTCTTCACCAACCCCCCACCAAAAAAACCTAAATGTGTTTCAATTTTGAAATTGAATGTAAAATTAATGTATGTATACAATTACTTTTCTTTTCTTTTTTTTACTGATTAATACTCATAAAACAGAAAAGAAAGGAGATTATACATGGATCGGCTTAAGAACTTTTGTAACCCTAAAGTCACCTTTATTTCAGCACATGCATGTGAATGTGTGTAGGTGGGTGTTTTAATTTGGTGTTTCAGGTAGTCTGGCTGGAATTGAGCATGTGAATTTCCCTCAACATGTGCCATTTGTCTGTGCAACGTGCATCAGACCGTGAAGGGAGGATTGAGGAATTTTGTGGGCCCTTTATCTCAGACTAGTCTATATAGGTCATTTCTGATATTAAAGGTTGAATAAATGTGAGGTATATGGCTTATATGTGATCAGATTTTAAACAATGCGCATATCGTAGTCAAAGGTATTCATGATAACATGAATAATATACTGGATATCTATAAAAGTGGTTTTCAAGCACGTTCTTGGAGGACTACCAGCACTTTATGTCTCCTTTGTCTTACACACCCTTTTTGAATCTTGCTGTCAACTATTTTCTTAGTATGGGGGACAGGGCTTGACATTAACTTTTTTGATCACCAGCCACTGTGGCTAGTTGTTTTACAACATTACTAGCCACTCGGCATTTTCACTAGCCACAATTTTGTTGTTGGGAAAATATATTTTATATGCATAAATATGACTTTGACATGCAAAAGTTCCTTGATTTAGATAAAGGGACTAAGCCAAAGAAAAATGAATGAATGAATATTTCTCAATAGGAAAATCACAAATCTGAACCTCCACCTCCCTATGTTTCTCTTTTCAGTACAAGTGCCAAAGTGCCCGGAGAAACTCCAGTGGCAACGACATCGATTGTGAGGTCAGTGTATGTGCACGAATTTCTGCTTCATTTTGACATGATTGCGCAAAAAACATATCAAGTTTACGAATTTTCATATTTTTAAAACACTTACATTACCAAGCCTTTAAAGAAAATATTGATTTAAAGATTTAAAGAACACAGAAATGTCTATAATCAATATATGATATATTTTTGTAGTTATGGTCAGCATTTAATTATATAATATCATCAGTTACGTATTTGCTGTGTGCAAGAGCAATCTAATTTGTTCAGGAAATTCATGAAAGTGAACCCTGATTTTTTTATATGCATGTCTTCTTCTGTAGAACTACAATATATGAACACATTTTTACCAAGAAAGGAAACATTTGTGTAAAACAGACCATCTCAGTCAGAAGAATTCATTCCAACATGACAAATGTTTGTTGTTACAGGAGGGAATGCGGTCTAATGATTTCTCCACAACTCTCACTGTCTTCGGTCTGAAACCCAGATCAGGTAAATCTTCTTAATCTATACAGTAGATGCCAATAGTGCAAGGTTTGGTAGCTTTTGAGTCTAAATAAGTACTAAACATTATATTTAAATGCCCATTTAAAACTGTTTCTGCTTTGCTTGCTGCTTGAGAGCCATGTATTACAGGGTTTCCAAAGTCATTACATACTAGAAACACACAAAAGTCATAACTAAAATTATTACGAACTGTAAAAAGCAATTAATTGCTTGAAACATGAGTAAAGCTAGTAAACCCTTATGTACTGTTGGGGATTTTTTTCGTTCACTCTGGAGTGATTTTGAGACTTAATTTGGCCTTAACTTTTTCTGTTTCAACTAGCGGAATAATATTTTGTGACAAATCTTATTTTGACACATATTTTGAGAAAATGCTTTGACATTTTTAAAGAACTCAACGAAACACTCTGGACACATTTACTGCCTTTTTGTTATGTTAGGGATGAAAGCATCCACTTAAATAAACTGCTGTAAAAATGCATCAGATAATTTTTATTTTTATTTTACTTTTTTGCATAAATCTGTTAATAAACCTCAGTCCTGATCCAAACTACTAGTTATTATCCAAACTACTAGTCCAAAACTACTAGATTATTAAGAAAATTGTAGGATTTTAACTCTTAATTAGCCAAATTCTAATAAATAAATTGTGTCACTGATTTATAGCTTGGAACTATTAAGTTAGCTTATTTTAATTCTGAACATTGTTTGTTTACTTAATAAATTTAAAGCATTAAGTTTACTCAGTTTTGTTTTATTAAAGTCTACTAATTGCTTTAAAAGCAGTGGGTTTACTAACTTTTTAAAAGTAAAGTCCATTAATAGATTTTTACAGTGCAGCATTTAAGGTCTTTATTACATTAACAGTAGTTTTTCCCATGCACAGATTTCATCATAAAGTGTTGGTAAAGATTAGCATTTCTAATGAAAGATGTTGTCTTGAACTGTGGTCTTTTACTTTAGCGATAACGAGGTTTGCAGAGAGAGGTGGAATTTCTTTATCGTTTTTTTATGGCGTAGCATTTCATTGGAAAGCAAAAGGAAGGCCCATACAAGTGCTGATCTGGAAGGTCAGCCAAGGGAGACCTCAAAACTTCACTGGAAAGCACAAGGAAGGTCCATGCTTCCTATCTCACAAAAATACAATGACAGTTCAGCAGAGTACAATTCCAAACCACTTGTTTTGAAATGTTATCTATTACAAGTGCTTCCTTTTAGCATTTAAACAGATATGTATTTAAAATATGTGAACGTTGCTAAGATGCACTGATAGGTGCTGTGTAAGAGCCATTGTGTTAACAATCATTAAATCATCATTCAAATGTTTTGATGTTTCTTGTCTGTATAATATAGCATAAAAGCATCAACAAAGGAGAATAAAACATCATTCTTTCTATGTTTGTCCTGAAATTAGATCTAATATCATGTAGAAATGTATGTACACAGAGATCTGAAAAGTGCCTAGCAATTTTGTTCAATAAATAACTCTCTGTCTTGAACAATAATACTTAAACAGTTTGAGAAACAAAGTATAAGTCGGTTGATAAATATGTTGATAACATGTTAATGAATTAATAGAAGATAATAATAGCATTATACCTTAGGTGTATCTTATTTTCTAATAAATCAGACTGAAGTCAGTTGATCTGCTTATACTATGGTACTTATGGTTACCACATTTTCAGATGTTGTATTTCAAGACATTTTAAAGGTCCTATGAAATTAAAATTAAGTTTTTGTAGATGTTAGTATCAGTATTATTTGTTTTTAGGATATCCATAATCTAGTGTGCTCTAAAACAGTGACAAAATTCACATTTAGAAGATAAAAAACTGATATAAACATGTAAAGCTTGTAGTTACTTCTGCCCAAATGGATCACCGGTGTTATTTACGTCACCACAGTACACCACAGTTTCTCATCATATAATAACCAATCAAATGCTCTCTAGTATGTGTCATGCCCCGCCCTCTTCGAGATGTCTCTCATTTTCTTTTCATTTGATACGTTGAGCTAAACCCCTCTTGCTGGCCGAGCTGTGATAAAACAAAACACTGTCGGCTGTTTTTGAAAAAGGTGAGGAGCTACACTATGTCCAACCTCTCTTTATGTTTCGGTTGAGATTACATGAAACATAAAATAAAAATGCATATTTCAAAGTACTTCACGGGACTTATAGGACAAATTTTGAAAGCACAAATTCCAAACCCTTTTTGTTTTGATTTGATTGGATTTCTGACTGCTGTCAAAGTCCCTTTAAGGCAAGTCATTTCACTTGGCGGCCATCTTTGAAACGTCTCTTGGGCAGTGTGCTTGGGCATTCTGTCTGCATGGGGAAACATCCGATTCTCCAAAACTGTTTGCCAAGCGTACGATTACACTACATGTTTGGAATCACAAATAAAAGCAAACGACTGTCTCAAGTTTCATTTCTAACCGTCCAAATCAAACAAAATCAGCATATTTTCAGGTTGCCCAACCTCATTTACACATTTCTACACAATATCATCCTTAAGATAATGCTACACCAGATTACACTGTCTTCTGAAGTAAGCCACAACTTGGTCTTAATGGTGAATCTCCTTCAGAAATGACAATGAGTCTTTTTTTACACGTTTGTTGCTGTCATGTGATGTTCATTTGACAGGATGGACTGTATACCTCACGTTTGTTTTATACAGATTACAAAACCAGAAAACGTTTGTTATCAAGTGCACATGGTTCATTCAATAGTACAGATTTCTAGCTGGATATATTTCTAGCTTGGATATATTCTATGTGTATTCTATAGTGTTTGCTGCTGTAGGCTGTGAAATATCTGAAATCATTGAGTGTAGTGATATGAAACTGTAATGTGGTCAATTATCTTGGCTGTGCATTTATCTGAAAATAATTGCACACATTAGGATGTTCATCATTTTATCAGAATCAAGGATTCAACAGAGTACAACAGGGATCATTATATCCAACTTTGACTTTTTTCGACAAGGCATGTTAATGTACAGACTGAGCAGTCATTGTCTTTAGTCTTTTTGAACAGATTTGTTATTTCTGTTGTAAAACCTTCACAGAAGTATTAAATGTAAAAGTTTATAGTTTGAATAGAAAATGCTGATGTCTAAAGGGAGTCGCACCCTGGATGCCCCACATTGCAACTTTTCTTTCAGAATTGTAAACAGTTTTATATGAGGGCACGAACATCGGGGCCACCTTTTAGCATCTGTTCGTGTTGCTGTCTATAGACATCTATTTAAAAACATGACAAGCCATGGCATAGTGCATCCATTTTGTGTCCCACTTCTGATAAAAGAAAATAATTGTTTGAAAGCAACTTGACACTGCAAATAAAGATTGCAGCAATCACAATGTTAAGCAAATATATATATATTAGGTAAGCAATCATTACAGTTTTTGTCTCTGAACAATATGTTCAAGTGATTTTTCAAAAATGCCGATTCATCCTGCAATTAAATGTTTTTGGATTTTTGATAATTAATTCAAAATAAACTTTAAAAAAATAATGTTTTAATTTTATAATATAAAATAAATTTTGTTTTTGTGTAATTAATAACATAATTGGCGCCACGGTGGCTCAGTGGTCTCACTGCAAGAAGGTTGCTGGCTTGAGTGCTGGCTTGGTCAGTTGGCATTTCTGTGTAATGTTTGTTCTCCCCGTGTTGGCGTGGTTTTCCTCCAGGTGCTCCAGTTTCCTCCACAGTCCAAAGGCATGCGGTATAAGAGGACTGGATAAGCTAAACTGATCGTAGTGTATGAGTGTGTGTGAATGTATGGGTATTTTCCAGTACTAGGTCATCAGCTGCATAAAAAATATACTGGAATAGTTGGTGGTTCATTCCTCTGTGACAACCCTTGATAATCAGAGACTAAGCTGAAGGAAAATTAATGAATGAATAGTTACATAATTTTCATTTTTAGGGAAACTAACCCTTTAATGAACACACTGCAGTCATTGAAAGTGTAGATTAAAAGATTCAGAATTAATGAAGATTGTGTGTTTTTTACTCAGCCTTCTCCCGTGGAAACCGTCAAGACTTCAGCTCCACAGACCCAAGCTTCACCATGAGGAGGAAGATGGAGCACCTTAGGGAGGAGATGGAGCAGATCAAACTTTTGCGGCAGGTCAGAATTCCTTGTGTTGCGAAGTTAAAAGAAAAAGCTAAAAGGATTGAGTCATACACCATAACTTTGGTAACGCACATGAAGGCAATAAAACACACATGCAAACAAGTTCTGTTTCGATGTATACGTCCCTGCCCATTTTTGCCTAGAGGTTTACTGTTAACAATTCTCTTTAAATTTGTTGTTAGTGCTGATGGAGTCTGCGCATGCATCATTGTCGAGTCATGATAAAGATCTTTTACAGACAATAAATACTACCTTGTAATCAAGTCCTGTCCTTTTTAATTCCGCGGAAAGTACAAAGAGATTAGGAGTTGAAGTCACTGTGCAGGGCATGAAACCCTTATTTACTTGTGCGTCACAAGCTATTGACATGCACGCTATATGAGCTGCTTACTGTATATAAATTACACTTGCTGTATGCACCATTTTTCAACAAAGAAGTAAGTTGAAGGAGCAAGATGTTTATTAGCTGGTAAATAACTAGAAGGAAAAAAAATTACTAAACAGTTTGTGCTACAAATCATTTATGATCATGATAATGCATTCAGTTATAATATCATAACAAATATTAGGCAGAAAATAATTACGAATAAGGTACGAATATTAAACAGCTTAGTTCTGTAAACAGAAATGTTGACCAGGGTTGGAATGTAACAAGTACTTGTGACTAGAGATCTTCCGATACTCTTTTCGCCTACCAATGCCAGATTTCCAATATCTGGGTGTGTATCTGAACATACAGCTGTATGTACACAACTAGTCCTGTGTAAATTGAAAGAACTATTTTATTTTATGGTGTGCTTGAGGAGTATCCCTTAATAAATGATGAGCAAGTGTGTGTGTGTGTGTGTGTGTATGTATAAGCAATATTACACGAGTAGCAGTGTGAGGTGGCTGTATATCGGCATTGGTGGAAGGCGTGGGTTGGCATGAGGCCACAGGCCATGCGATATACAGCCATATCGCATAGCTATGATGAGTGTAATATTGCTTTTATACAACAGTTTGACAGCATAATTGTGTATGTAAAGAACAAAAAACACAGTGTCTTAAAACCTTTTTGTAAGAGGAACTACTTTCTTCCGCCACTCATTCACATCTGCAGCTGAGATCAGAACAGCAGAAACCGTTACTAATTGACCAACGTCATTTTAGAGTTAGTATCTGAATAATTCAGATGACAAAACTGGGGATTTTGCTGACACTGTAAGATTACAAGGCTGAACTGCCATCAGTCTAAAGACATTTCCCAGTATTTCAAGCAGGATATCACAATAATTAACCCCGAAAAGGCCAAAGCAACACAAACATTTTTTTTTCTTTCCGTTTACTGAACTAATCTGCAGTAACGAAAATGGGAGGGTTATTAGTAACCAAAAAGTTAACTCAGGGTTATACAAAGAGTGGCCAACACAAAATACATACATTTCTAGTGTGTGAGTTCCATCTCACACTCAATACACTACAATTATATGGTATAAATACAGCACTGCAACATCAAAAAGAGAGAGATCGACTTAGAAAGTCCCTCCAGTTTAATAATGATTGGATAGGCTGTAGTTTTTCCTCCTCTAAAGGCGTATTATGCAGTCTTTGTCGCAATCTTGTGAATAGCGCTGCACAGATGCAATCTAAACAGCTACGTTCTTACATAAAAAAGCCTCAAAACTATAGTGCGTTATTGATCTGCTGTAACTCTATGTGGGCAGAGTAATACAGAAGTGTGAGGAGGCTGTAGAGGCAATCTTAGTTATGCCAAAAATGCTGGGTCAGCTTTTTATTTTTACTTTCAGTTTTTAAATTTTTTATTTTTTTGCCGCATTTATTGTAAAACGTTTAGTTTGTTCTGGAAACTATTGATGACATTTCTTCTAAATCTAAAATAAATATTTATATTTTATATATTTATAAAAAAATATATATATATATATATATATATATATATATATGCATAAAATAAAAAGGTGCCATGCTTCTAGCAATGCTTACATTTCTTCCTAGATAAAATAATACTAGTTTGTGAAATAACCCTAATTTTCAAATATTATTTGTTATTCTGACAAAATGTTCTTTCGTAAAAATTTACATTTGAAAGACATGTCATCAGACCTTTAGAGAATTAAACAAATATTTCAATTCTACCAAATCCCATATCTAATGAATAAAAAAAACAAAAAAAAAAAAACAAAACAGAGAAATTAACAATTTTATGATGATCTTTTAAATTAGTCTATAGCTGTAATTAGATTACTCATAGAAATGCATTTAGATTTACATGTGTGGTGGAGTGATGTGGGGTTGACTGATCCTAAAGCAGCCATGTCTAATCTCACATCTTCCTTCACTTCAGCTTCTGCATCTGCTCTCCTTGGTGCTGAAGAGCCACTCATGTGATGCCTGAATCTCTAAACAAAGCACTTACAGAGCCTTATCTTGACATTTAGCCTATGGGGGATTCTTTGTTAACGTGACATACTTACCTGTTATTTGGAATGGCTAATTTGCAAATGAAACAAACAGAGCCCTTGTGTGTGTTTGCAGAACCTCGAGTCAAGGTTAAAGGTTTTATTGCCAGATGACGTGGGCGCTGCGCTGATGGATGGTGTCGTTTTATGCCATCTAGCCAATCACATTCGTCCCCGTTCGGTCGCCAGTATTCATGTACCCTCCCCTGCCGTGGTAAGTCGAATATCCTATATCAATAAAGGATATTTACCTCAGAACTTCAGTCAAATAAGATTGTATTATATTTGAGCTCTTTTAAATATTCATTAGTAAATTTACAGCTTTCAAATCAAGCAGGATTTTGATTGTTGATGCTCTACTTTCTATAACTTTTATGTGTTTCTACTTTTTCTAATAGCCAAAGCTAAGTATGGCCAAATGTCGGCGCAATGTGGAGAATTTCTTGGATGCTTGTAAAAAGCTTGGAGTGCCACAGGTGGGATTGAGTGTCTCTTTCTTCTGAATCCATGATATTTTAACACTATATGGACTATTAGCCAATATCTCTATGTTTTTTTATTTATTTATTTATTGGTATAAGCTCAAACTGAAACCACCAGGATTTAAACCACTCTACAATGTCTATAATACATATTTTCCCATGTGTGGTGAGCATTTGTGGATGAAGTAATTACACTGTAAACAATGCTGTAAAATTTACAGTGTTACTGGCAATTTTGGTTTCCAGTATAACTAAAATTTACAATTATTCATTTTAATTAAATTTTATTTTTTGTTAACAGTGTGCTTGCACATTTTACAGGATTAAGGCAGTTTTTACAGTATTGCTGATGTTACAAATTTAATTAAAAATCCTTAATCAAAAAGAAGTTTAACAGAAATGTAACAAGATAACTGGGATTAAAAACATAATCCCATATGCCCCCGAGCTCTCTCCCCCCAAAATATAAACTAAAACACAAACCACTGAGAATTAACAAGAAAATATGATTCATTTACCGAAAATTAGGAGCAAAATAACATCGGGAGGGGTTAGGCCAAAATAAATGACATTAAACATGGTGCGAGCCTCGGCTGGGTCTGTTGGCATTTCCATGTGGAGTTGTCCTTGTGTTTGCGTGGGTTTCCTCCGGGTGCTCCGGTTTACCCCACAGTCCAAAAACATGCACTATAGGTCAATTGGGTGAGCTTAATTGTCTGTAGTGTGAATGTGAGAGTGTGTATGGTGTTTCCCAGTCATTGGTTGCAGCTGGAATGGCATCCACTGCATAAAACATATGATGGATAAGTTGGCGGTTCATTCCGCTGTGGCGAGTCCAGATTTATAAAGGGACAAAGCCAAAAAAAAATGAATGAATGAATGAATACATAAATGAGAATAAACCAAAATAACTAAATTAAAGCAACCTTACCCTGAAAAATAAATAAGAAAATAAAATACAGAAAACTTACCTCTCTACTAACAACACAGGACAAAACAAAAATAATAAACAGAAAGCACTGAAACTCCCTACCATGCTCCAAGCCAGACAGGGAGGCAGAAAACCATGTGTCTCCAGTTAGAATGTAAAACTTCACATCGGCATCTCCCAGTGATGGGTTGCAGCTGGAAGGGCATCTGCTGCGTTAAAAAAATTAGCTGGATAAATTGGCGGTTCATTCCGCTGTGGAGACCTTAGCTTTATAAAGGGACTAAGCCGAAAAAAAAAAAATGAATGTAATTGTTAGAGTAAACCAAAATTGCCTGTAATACTGTAAATTTTACAGCATTTTGTACAGTGTAGAGATGCATTTGTTTCCTCAGTGGGATTTTAAAGAACTTTACACGTTTTTTTTCCAGCAATTTAAATTGAATCAATCAAAAGAATAAAGATATTTATATTGTTGCAAAAAATCTGTTTTAAAAAGAATATGTGTCATTGTTGTAATTTACCGGATTTTAATATAGATAGTAAGTAAAAATGTTACTTGACTATTAAATCGTCATATCTGAATGTTTTCTGAAAGATCATGTGACCCTAAAGGCTAAGGAATAAACAATATTTGACTATAAATTCAATCAGAATACTGTTATATCAAAATTTAACAAAATATTAACATTTTTAATTAACATTTTTGGTCACACTTTATTTTGGTGGTCTGTTTGTTGAATTTAAGTTACATTGCATCTACATGCCAACTGATTCTCATTAAATTATAAGTTGACTGTTAGGGTTAGTGTAAGTTGACATGTACTTGCAAAATTTCCTATAGTCAGTTAAAGGTCTGTTGAAGAAGCAGTATCAGCAAATGTTAAGCAGACAGTCTACAATACTCAAATGGACCATCAAAATAAAGTCTTACCACATTTCTATTCAGTGACAATTAAAGACTTGTCATTCAAAAACCTTAAAACTCCCACCAACCCCAAACTCTTAAACAGCATTGTAAATATTAGATGCGATTAACATTTGTTTTTACCATGTATTCTTATTAGCAAGGCAGCAATATCAGTTCTTCGTCTGTATACAGCTCAAAAAAATAAAGGGAACACTTGAACATAATGTAACTCCAAGTGTTTCCTTTCTTTTTATATTTATGCTTACATTTGCTTGTTTGTTTATCAACAGGACCAGTTGTGTTTGCCACATCACATTCTGGAGGAGCGAGGTCTGGTAAAAGTCGGCGTCACCGTTCAGGCTCTGCTAGATCTTCCGTCATCGAAACCCAATCAACTTTCCACCATGTAGCACCGCTAGATCATCTCATCTTTCTGTATCCTGCCTTACCACCTCATCCCGTCCCTTCTCTGTCAATGCTGATCTTTGACCTACCATGGGGAGACCACGACCCTTCAGGCCGGCAATTTCCCCCTACCTCTAATAAGCCTCTCTGGAGGGCTCGAGACCTTTTAATGCTCTGTTGGAGAGGAATCGCAAGTTAAAGCCACACTTTTTATTCCGAGGGGAAATATCTGTTTATATTTCACAGCTGGACACTTTTTTGTTTGGGTGTCTTCTTCTCATCTGTCTGGTGTTCACTCTTCTCTTGGACCGGTGAGCCCACAGCGGGTGAGGACAGGAGAAACGCATGCAGCTTTATGACTGATTCTGGAACAGAGGGATGGTGTTATATCAATGCCACCACAACCCTCTTCTGTATGAAGTCAACAAGAGCTGTCTGTCATTCAGTTTCGTCGTGTCTGTCTCAAAAAAATGAGTGGGGAAGGAACATCTGTTGCACGTTCAACCAGGCGAGCACAGAGTTGGCATACAAAGGTATCACGGCGATCAGGTGAGTCACGGGCAGAGCTTTAGACAAGATTTATGTTTGATATCACGTGCCTGCACAAGACAAAGACGTTTTCATGCTCTTACGTGCATTCAGATGTTTTTGTAACTGGTTTGCCCACACGTTCTGTTTAGCTTTTCGAGTTCTCATGAACAGTCTGGAATTCACAACAGAGTTCCTGAACGTTTCACACGTGCCAGTCTGTAATTGCATATCATAAAATTGGGACTCTTCAGGTTGCAGGCCTGAGCAGGAATGAATAGTGAATAGTCTCAGCTCAAACTAGGTCAGTTATTTATATAAAGTGCTGCATGAAAGTCTGTGAACCCACTGTGGAATTGGTGAAAATGTGGATAATGGTAACACGAAAAGATTAATGTTATTGCAGGACACTTGTGAGACTCAAACACAACTATTACAATAGAGTTTTAGATTTTAGCTCCAACTTGCCTTAACACACCTGCAAGCTTGATTAGCTAGCCCAGGTGTGTCGAATTGGGGTTGGAACTAAACTTTGCAGGACAACAACCCTCCAGGACTAAGTATGGACACCGCTGGAATAAAGGATAAAAAGGAAACGCGATGGGTTAAGAAAACTTAATGTTAAGACAACTTTTGGAATTTGAAGATACTCCTGCCATTTCCACACTTGTTTTTGTTTAATGAACATATATTTATTTAAATTTTGACCACACTAATGCCGAGTTCAGACTGCATGATTTTAGCTCCGATTTTGACTCGCAGGCAAATCGGTGCTCGTGCACGAGAGTGTCAATCACACAGTATGAACTATCAAAGACGCGATCTGAGTGAATCGCAGATGAGTTGCCGATGCCTGTGAGGTATTTGGCATGCTAAATATCTGAAGCTGTCGGCGATTCAAATCATGCCATGTGAAATGAGGAGTTTTGACTGAAAATAACATCGGCGATCACCTAGAGCAGTGGTTCTCAAACATTTTTCATCAAGTACCACCTCAGAAAAAAAATTGTCTCTCCAAGTACCACCAAAATGAGTAGTATTAAAATACCGCAGCGCATTAGGCCCAGTAAAGCAGCTATAACTCTGCACAGTTAAAAAATGTGGCAGATTACATCATAAATATAGGCTATATGTCATATATGACATATTATATACATAATTTTTAATAAATTTTGAAATGTGTGTAGCATGTACATGACATATTTCATTCCTCCGCGTACCACTAGAAAGAAGCCCGCGTACCACTAGTGGTACACGTACCACAGTTTGAGAACCACTGACCTAGAGCCAATGAGAGAGCAGCATTCCCTTGTTTGTGTGTACCTGCAGGCCAGTGGAAAGTTGGGGGAGAAGTTAAAAGTGTTCATTTTCAGTTTACTGTATTTGGACCCAAGAAATGGAGGAAAAACTAGTGGAGGTTTGACTGGAACACCCATGTCTGTTTGACGTTTTACACTGAGAGTTAAAAAAGAAAGTTGAGGAGAAATTGCTAATTCCCTTCAAAGCCAGGTGAGCAAATATGTCCATTTTCTACCCCATTAAAGTCTTCTTTCTCATTATGTAGTTAAAAATAAAAGATATACTACGTGTTTTTGGCTGTGAGACGTAGTTAAGATGAAGTTGTTGGCGATTCTTCCTATTGTAAAGTCATGCAATGTGAAAGCCCCTTTCGCCGATCCATCTTGCAGTGTAAACAAAGCAGCGACAAAACGCTAGCCCAGATAGTCATGCAGTGTGAAAACATCTGTGACATGATTACTTTAAATATCATGCAGTCTGAACACAGCATGAGATGGCTTTTTTTTTGTAAATGATAACATATTTTTGGAAAACAATGATGAACTTTTAGTCATGTGACCAATTTAGTTTCACTGGTGGATAACATTGACAAAGATTATTTATACTGTGGATTGGTTTTCTTCAGATGGCACAGAATGTTTTCTTCCGGTCCACATTCTTGCTTGTTTTTGCAACTTTATACTCCTTTGTTACACGCAGCAACAACTCCACCTCACTATCGGCCCATTTATAAAACTTGCTGCTTTTCCTTGAAATATTGCTGTGATGTTTCAAAGAGCTGGAAAGTGAATAAATGCGAGGAAGAAAAAATGCAGGTCAGAGTGATTTTTTATCTTAACATAATTTGTCTTCTGAATACATGAAAGTATTCTTCTGTTATTTCTGGCAGAACTAATTTCAGCAAAATGAGAAAAACATCTTCATCCTGTTTAAAGATTCACAAAAGGTTCACAAACTTTTAAGCAGCATTGTATTTACACTACCTGACAAAAGTCTTGTCATCTATCCAAGTTTTAGGAACAACAAATAATAACTTGACTTCTAGTTGATCATTTGGTATCAGAAGTGGCTTTTATGAAAGGCAAAGGCCTCTAGATTACGCTTATTTAACAACAATAAAATATGATCATGCCTTGATTTTTTATTATTTAATTAGGACAGTAAGGTCTGACTTTGCTTAGACAAAAGTCTTATCACTGAACAGAAATAATGTACAGTAAGTAATATAATAATGTACACTAAAGAAAAGTTATGCTGCAGTGGAAAAAGAAATCGTATTGTGTTTGACCCCCATGAGCTTGGGCGACTGCATCCAAACATCTTTGTAATCACTCAAATAACTTATTAATAAAGTCATCTGGAATGGCAAAGAAAGCGTTCTTGCAGGACTCCCAGAGCTCATCAAGATTCTTTGGATTCATCTTCAATGCCTCCTCCTCCATCTAACCTCAGACATGCTCAATAATGTTCATTCTGGTGACTGGGCTGGCCAATCCTGGAACATTTTGATCTTCTTTGCTTTCAGCTGCTTTGATGTGGAGGCTGTAGTATGAGAAGGAGCGGTATCCTGCTGAAGATTTTGCCGTCTCTTGTTGTTTGTAATGTAATAGGCAGCACAAATGCCATCCACTCTGCAGATCTCTCGCACACCCCCATACTGAATGTAACTTCAAACCATTATTTTTCCTTCACCAAACTTGACTGATTTCTATGAGAATCTTGGGTCCATAAGGGTTCCAATAGGTGTTCTGCCGTATTTGTGATGATTGAGATGCAGTTCAACAGATGATTTATCTGAACAATCTACCTTCTGCCACTTTTACAAATGATAAACTAGACATCAAGTTATTATTTGTTGCTCTTACAACTTTGGTTGACTACAAGGCTTTGTCAGTTAGCGTATATATAGAAAATATTAAGAGGCAACCTGAAAATTGTCAGTCAATATTCTCATTGTATAATAAAAGTATTAGAACATTTCTACATTATAATAGATAATGGTTTTAGTCCTTTATAGAATAAATCAGCTATTAAAGTAATCTTTACATTTTTCCCACACAATTTCTAAAAAATAATAAAGCGTGCTGAAATATCAGTAAGTCATGAGAACCAAAAAGACAAATCATAGCCATGAAAGACACATTTTTATACACATACATGGATTTTGTAGACAGATTTTCTCATTGTTTTTGTCTCATGTAAAAACAAAGGAACCAGAACAGTCTTTGATGCTTGGAAAATCTAATCAAGCTGTAGGGGATTTGATGTGCAGCAGGTCACTCACCACAGCAAACTGTGAAGATTTTAAGACATGTTTGAAAATGTACAAATGCTTTTGTTTTATTAAGGAAATTATTTATTTACTTGTATGTACTTCTGTATGTTTAATTTATTTATTTCTTTGAGTTATGTTGACTACTTTATCAACCTCAGAAAAACTTATATCTATAAATCAGCAATACCATTTCAAAAGTCTGGAGTGTAACAGTTTCAAGATGATGAAAAACTGGATTAGCCACCTCGAAAAGTGTTTGTTCTTGAAGTTATTTGCAGTCAATAGCTGCATTCATGTAATCTCCTAATTACAGTAATTATGAGATTCCAACTTTTAAAAAAAATAGGTCACATCTCATAATTATTACTTGTAAACTGAGGATTTTCAGAGAGTTACAGATTGTGCCACGTGACCACTGCACCGCATGAGTGCCATATATTGATTTAGATGCTGCTGTATATTTAGGTATTGACTATGTTGCCAACTTTGGACACATAAAAAGCTCCAAGTAGACCGTCCCATTGTCATCTCAAAATTACGATAATTACAAGACTTGATAAACACAGCTCATTTCCATGTAACACTGCTTTTATATACACTGAAAGCTGTTTATTATAAGAAAGCTGTTTAGGATTAGATGTAGAATCTTTGTTCATGTTTAATTACGTAGGAAATAGGTTTACAAAGAAATTGGTCTTGGAATGCAGTACTGGTACACTGGTAAACACACACAAACAAATAACTTTGTAATTATAAAAAATTGGTCTGTTGCTGTTCCAAAAAAATATTCCCAGAAACTGTCATTTAAGAGGGTAACAAACTGGTCTTGTTGGAAAAATAGTTTTTTGCTTCATTGCACATTCCCATGATTCCCATTAGTCTCATTGGCTTCAAGTCTTTGGACTTTAAAAAAAATCTGAATCCTATTATATTTATGGCCATATGTGCAAAAAGAGCAACTATAGGTCCACATTGTACCAATAAATTTCCATACCATATCAAAATACCATAGTTAATCACTCTTGAAAACAGATTGATCCAATTAAGACCTTTTTTGTATTTTAACCCCAACAAGAAGCAGTCTCTTCATCAGAAAGCAGTCTTTGCTATCGTTTTGAACATGGACTCTTAGTATAAGCGGACTAATTCATGGAACTGTCCATATGAGCCTCCAGATATTTATGTGAATGTCCTTGTAGGATGAAATGAGTTTTCCCAGATGTTTTGTTTGACCGTTCCAGCTCTCCTGAACACTCTGTGTCACAAATTCACTACTGAATTGCTGAACGTTTAGCTTGTAATCGTAGAAAACTACTTATAAAGCATACAGTACCAGTTGGGACTCAAGCTCAGATTATAAGTGTCATCTGAGAAAAATAGTTATTGGTAAGACTTTATTTTGATGGTCCATTTAAACATTAGTAGACTGTCTGCTTAATATACTGTATGTTGATACTGCTCCTCCAACAAACTTTTAACGAACTATAAGAAACTTTGCAAGAACATGTTAATTTACACTAACTCTAGCCACAACCCTAACCCCAACCTATATAATCTAATGAGATTTAGTTGGCATGTAGATGCAATGTAACTTAAACTCAAGAAAATGTAGCTTCAAAATAAAGTGTGACCTCGTTTTTCAGACTACTGGTGCTCTTTATCCCTGAAAATATTTGTTAAAAACACTTGGCAGAATAGTGATTCACTTTCAAAGTAAGTGGTGTAAAAGAAAATTGATAGCAGGATTAAAATCTTGGCAAAATATCCCCTTGTGTGCTGATCTTCTGCACATGCTGACATTTGGCACAGTAATTTTTATCCTTGTAAATTATACTTATAGTACAGTGTAAAAATAAACTGTAAATTGACAGTTTTTCAGGGGCATATCACAGGCGACACAGTGGGTAGCACGATTGCCTTACTACAAGAAGGTCGCTGGTTCGAGCCTCGGCTGGGTCAGTGGGTTTTCTTCTGGTGCTCCGGTTTCCCCCACAAGTTCAAAGACGTGCGCTATAGGTGAATTGTGTAAGCTAAAATTGGCCATAGCAAATGTGTGTGAATAAGTGTGTATGGATGTTAATGGGTTGCAGCTGGAAGGGCATCCGCTGCGTAAAACATATGCTGATGTTGGTGGTAATATTCCGCTGTGGCGACCCATGATTAATAAGGGGACTAAGCTAAAAGGTTAAATTAATGATGACTGTTTTTCATATTTTATTATTAATTTTTTTACACTTTCTGTATTTATGCTTTTGATTTTATTATGGAATCTTAAACTTTCCTCAAAATCTTATAATGTCCAAACATTCGACAAAGTGACATTTTGAATAGTTTGAAGTGGTATATTGCACTCAAAAAAGTTGTGTTGTTTGTTCAAACAACTTATTTAAAATGAGTTATTATTAAAAACAACAGAATTCTTGAGCTTTTTTGAGACAAGTTAATAGTTTTATGTTTAAACTACTTTAATTTGTGAAGACTAAGAAGTTTGTCCCACCGCAAATCGATTGTATGGAACCCAGCATTTCTTACAGTGCG